AAGGGGTGGAGGGGGGGTTGGGAGGGGTAGAGAAATAGGAATTACAGTAAAGTTCTTCAAGGAATGTATAAGACATGCTGCAAAAAGAGACATTAGTAAAGCTATACCTTTGCTGGAAAATCCTCAATGACTTTAACCAAGTCTTGGCACCTCTGTGGAAAGGGCTTATTCATAGAGTCAGCTTTCAGGCTAGCCTAGAAGATAGAACAAAGCAAAAAAATCATGAGAGCATTCACTATGCAGCTTTCAGTGATACTCTGTATTGAGTCAAAGAGAAATCCAAGCAATAGGTTGTGAGTCAGACAAATAACCACTGGCCACATTCCCCAGCCCCTCACGTGTGTCAGTGGCCCAAAGAATGCTAGTAGGAGAAGCTGTGGTTCTGTGCTCTCTGTACCAGGAACTCTCAGGCTTGCTGTGTCTGTATGCATCAAATGGAAATTTCCCGCCTGATGGACCACAGTGATTACACTGCTGTGACCATCAAGAAGAATGCCCAACAACATCAGGGCTATGGCAGAAGCTCTTAAGCTGTGCTTTACTCAGTAAACAGTGAACCCACTAAACAACTGACCTTAAAACATAGGGCAGGCAAATATAGATGGTTTCAGCCAAGTAGACACTAATCACGAAGGCAATGGAGGGGCCAGAAAAGACTCAGGACAAGAACTAATGAGATCTACCCACAGTCACGGGATGTGAGGAAAGCACCCTGACTACAAGGAGAAAAGGGGCATCTGTGCAAATGGATTAAGATCAGGAGAAACTGCTAGAATTTCAATGTAGAGAGCTTTGCCAAAGGATATCTAAGGCCTTGTCTACCTCCATATGAGGGTGGACTTTACAGGGCTTGAGACAGAGATGGAGACCTGAGCTGTCTGGTCATGGGCCAGGCCTTTTGGCTTCAGTGGGGTGCACTAAGGAAGAATGTCCTTCCACATAAATGTTCACAAAAACGCCTCCTAAGAACTAAAATTAGGAACTTCCATCACCAATACTTACCTCATACCTAACTTTTCACTTCTCAGTGAGTTCTCACTATCAATTTTTTCTTCCTTTTGAGTCTTTACTATGTTGCCCAGACTGGTCTCAAGTCATCCTCCTGCCTCAGTCTCCTCAGTAGCTGAAACTCCAGGCATAAGCCATTGCACCCAGTTCTCAGCATCATGTTTAATACTTAAAGTGCAAACCTAGCGGCCCCCAGCACAACTGTCTCCACTTTTCACTGAAGACAGTTACGGTTATCAGAATGCTTCATATCTATTCAAGAATTTCCAGGTCATGCACAGTCTGATGTACATCCTTCTCACTTGCTCCTCTTCCTCCTCATACCCTTGGGAAGTAGAGAAGTAGCATTTGAATAAACTTGTCTGGAGGTTGAGTAACTCCAAGTTTCTTTAGTATTAAGGAGGCACAGTCAAGCTTAAGGAGTCTGGCATTGTTGACATCACATGCCACTAAAAAACTACCACTACAGAGCTCTTCAAATCAGTGGGAAGAGCACTCAAGTCCCACGGCTACAGAACTATGGCCACACTGACACTCATGCAGGCGGTTGATGCTTACCAGTAGAAAGCTGGGCTGCTGCAGGTGAGGGAATGCCATAGCAGCCTCCAATGGAGCGTCGAAAATGGCCTTCTTAACAAACCACTGTGGAAAACCAAAGATGAAATCTCAACATCTGCAACACAGCAGAATCTTTCCATTTTATTTTTTTAGAGACAGGGTCTCATTTTGTTGCCCAAGCAAAATGCGGCAGCACAATCATAGCTTACTGCAATCTCAAACTGCTGGGTTCAAGTAATCCTCCCACCTCAGCCTCCTGAGTAGCTGGGACTACAGGTACGCACCACCACGCCTGGCTAATTTTCCTTTTTGTTTTTTTGTCGAGACAGAGTCTCGCTATGTTGCCCAGGCTAGTTTCAAGTCCTAGCCTCCAGGGATCCTCTTGTGTTGACCTCCTCAATGTTGAGGTTACAGGTGTTAGCCACTGCACCTGGCCCTAACAAAATATTACATAGTTTCACAATGCCCAGAAAAACATCTGTGTAATGCGACACACATTACATTACCAATTCTCATGTCTTTCTTATTTATTTATTTATTTATTTATTTGAGACAGGGTCTTGCTTTGTTGCTCAGGCTGGAGTGCAGTGGTGTGATCATAGCCCACTACAACCTCAAACTCCCGAGCTCAAGTGATCTTCCTGCATCAGCCTCCCAAGTAGCTAGGACTACAGGCACACACCACAAAGCCCAGATAATTTTTGTACTTTCTGTAAAGATGGGGTTTCATCATGTTGTTCAGATTGCTCTTGAACTCCTGGACTCAGGCCATCTATACGCCTCAGCCTCCCAAAGTCCTGGGATTACAAGTGTGAGCCACCATACCCAGCCAGCAATTCCGAGGTTTTATAGAAACACTGTTCTTGGCCAGGCACAGTGACTCATGCCTGTAATTCTAGCACTTTAGGAGGCCCAGGCAGGTGGATCACCTGAAGTCAGGAGTTCAAGACCACCCTGGCCAACATGGTGAAACCCTGTCTCTACTAACATACAAAAATTAGCCAGGCTTGACGGCGGGTACATATAATCCCAGCTACTTGGGAGGCTGAGACAGGAGAATTCCTTGAATTCATCCAGGAGATGGTGGTTGCAGTGAGCCAAGATTGAACTACTACACTCCGGCCTGGGTGGCTCAAGGAAGACTCCATTTCAAAAAAAAAAAAAAAGAATTGATCATTGATACTTGGAATGCACTTGAAGCCCCAGGTTCCTCCCAGGGCTACGCTTAAAAACAAACAAACAAACCCTGTTCTCATGCAGCCCATAGTGGCCAATTTCAGAGCCAAGTTTGTGGTACTAAATCTTTGGCAATGCTTGTACAGCATTTGTTATACACCAGGACTCGCTCTAAAGGCTCTCTGTATATCTCCTCATTTCATCCTCAGTGGCAGGCAGAATTCTAAAGATAGCCGCAAGATTCCTGACCCGTGGCTGTTCAATCAAATACTCATCTAGGTATTGCTATGACGGCATTCTGCAGATACAATTAGAGTCCTAGTTAGTGGACCTTAAGTTAGAGAGTAGTCCCCAGTTGACAGCCAGCAAGAAAACAGAGACCTCAGTTCTACAACTCCAAGGAACTGGATTCTTCCCTCAACCTAAATAAACCTGAAAGCAGCTTCTTTGCTCCAGATAAGAGCAAAGCTGCCAACACCTCAAATTAAGTCTTGTGATACACAGCTGAGACTGTCTGGACTTATGCATATGTAACTATGAGATAACAAACGAGTGTTGGTTTAAGCTGCTAAGTTTGTTATACAAGAATAGAAAAACCATCTTCACAACAACCCTATGTGTACAGATGTACTATGAGTGCATGTCCGTAAAGACAAGGAAAGAGAGGCAGAAATGGGAAAAGTCACTTACTCCCACCCAGCTAGTAAGTGGCAGAACCAAGATTCCAATACAAAGATGGCTTCGCAAAACTCTCTGAGACAGAGCAAAATTCCTGCATATGACCTGTGCACTATGCAATGCATGGAGAAGAGCAAGCTCTGCCAAGGGAGCCTTTGAATGAGTCATCAGAAAACTAGGATCAAAGGCTGGTGGCAGTGGCTCACACCTATAACTCCAGAACTTTGGGAGGCTGTAGCAGGTGGATCACTTGAGGCCAGGGGTTCAAGACCAGCCTGGCTAACATGGCAAATCCCCATCTCTACTAAAAATACAAATATTATCCAGGTGTGGTGGCAGGTGCCTGTAGTCCTAGGTACTCAGGAGGCTGAGCCACGAGAATTTTTTGCCTTGAGATTGAGTAACCTCAGGACAAAAAATGGCTGGCTGACTTTCCTACTTTTAGTAGAGGCAGGTTTCCTTATGCTGGCCAGGTTGGTCTCAAATTCCTGGCCTCAAGTGATCCGCCACCTTAGCCTCCCAAAGTACAGGTTTTTTCAATTCTTAACCTAGCTATCAATTTCAGTGTTAAAGAAAACTTAAAAGTCTCAGTCCTAAGGCACTTGGTCAGGAAAACACTGTGCACTACTCCAAAATGATCATCACAGTATAAAACGGTGAACTGTTGGATAAACACAGAGTTTTAGAGGTGATGACGTGAAAGCATCTCTGCTCAGAAGCTTTCATGGGCAGCAACTGAAAGAGTGAGACCCAGAGGAACTTCCAGGAAATTTCCAAGAGAGGAAATTCAAACCCGGGAATTCCAAGAGATGCCTTGCACACTCTGGTTCTCTCATTCTGCCATGGTCCCCTCCCTCATCAAGGTCTTTGAGCGCCCTGCACTTAGCGGCTGCTTCATCTCGCCTCTTCAACACCTACTTTCTCCAAGAGCTGCTTCGGACCCCATTTGGGGTTTTATTTTTCTCAGTGTGACAGCCCTTAGGCAACGCCAATCGCTCCAAGCAAATTCTGTCGCTGCCAAGACCTCCCTCAGCGGCATGACCCCGCCTGTTGTACCCAACTCTCCTGCCAATTGGGCATCGGAACCCTATTACAGCTGAGGAAACCCAGGCTCGGAGATGTCGAGGACACAGAGTAAGGATCAAGCAGAGACCCACATCCGGCTCTTCCTCCCACACCGCCTGCTGAGCCCAAGGCTCAACTTCAACACAAAGCTCTCCTTCCCTCAATTCCTTCAACGAACGTTAACCTTCAACAAGCAGTGTCTCTCGTACATTACCGAGACAGTGTAGGAACCGCGCTGGAAGGCGGCACAACGGCATGGCCCAGGAGGGTGGCAGGAAGACTCAGCCGGGGCCCTCGCCTCCCCAGCCCGCCCGGCCTGGGCAGAGCAGCGGGGGCCGGCCCGAGTCCTGGGGCTCGCGGAGGAACGGAGACGGCCTCCGCAGGGACTCCAGGAAGCCGCTGGGGCATCGGACCGTTTCACGCGCGCGTCCCGCGCCACTCACCCGTGGGACCCACAGCATTGCCCGCCACAGAGTTGGAAGCAGCCATGCCGCCACCGCAGCTAAATGTCGTCATCAAGCTGCGCACAGGAGCCACGCCCCGCGGCCAGGCGGGAAAAGCGGGCGTCGCGGATGGCGGCGCAGGGCGCAGGGCCGGGGCCAGGGTCGGCGGCGCCGCCCGGGCTGGAGGCGGCCCGGCAGAAGCTGGCGCTGCGGCGGAAGAAGGTGCTGAGCGCCGAGGAGATGGAGCTTTACGAACTGGCGCAGGCGGCGGGCAGCGCCATCGACCCCGATGTGTTCAAGTGAGCGGGGCGGGTGGGGGTCGCAGGCTCAGCCCATCGCCCCGACCTCTGCTGTCGGGGTCCACCGGGCCCGCTTGGTCGGGAGGAAGCCCCCGTCGTTGTCGGGTCTTCAGGGAGGTGGCCGCCCCGGGCAGGGAGGGCTCACCGGCCCCGCGTCTGTCCCCGCCAGGATCCTGGTGGACCTACTGAAGCTGAACGTGGCCCCCCTCGCCGTCTTCCAGATGCTCAAGTCCATGTGTGCCGGGCAGAGGCTGGCGAACGAGCCCCAGGACCCTGCAGCCGTGTCTCTGCCCACGTCCAGCGAGCCTGAGACCCGAGGTCAGAGCCGGGTCCGCTGTCCCTGCCCCAGTGGCGGAGGTGCCAGGCGGGGAGGGGGCAGGCGCGGCACAGCAACGGTGTGGCCCTGAGTGGCCAGGCCTGTGTGTGGGGTCATGGCTCAGCACCTGCAGGGCCCATCCTTGGGCTCTGCCTCGGGCCTTGCTGCTAGCCTTAGCAGGCACATCCCGGTCAGGTGAGCACAGAATACATGCCCCAGGGTGGTCCAGGCGGGCTAGGGCTCTTCCTCTCGGCCCCCTCCCCACCTCTTCACTCAGGCCTTCATCCCACAAAGTCGGGAATCAAGACAGTTTGGGGCTGAGCGCTGTGGCTCCCGCCCATAATCCCAGCACTTTTGGAGGCTACAACGGGAGGCTCGTTAGAGGCCATGAGTTTGAGAGCAGTCTGGGTGACAGGGTGAGATCATGTCTTTAAATATGCTTTTTAAGAGACAGTCTCGGTCCCTGTCCTGCGGCATTAAAGCCTCCAGGGAAGTGCCCAAGGAGCAGGGCAGGCAGAGGTCTTCCTGCCACCCCCTGCCTGTACCCCTCCTGGGCCCATTTCCTGTGCAGGGACTTGGGCAGCCTGGCCAGCTTCCCTCTGAGGATTGCAGGAAGGGAGTCAGACACAGAACTCCCAGGGTGCAGAGGCCTGCAGGGCCTCCTCCCTCTCCAGCGTGGTGCCTGGGCTTAGCAGATACTGGGGCTCAAAGTGTCATGGTGGAGCCTCAGAGCCTGCTCATCCCTGCTGCATGTTGCTCCTGCTTCCGACAGCTCTCTGAAATTCAGCAGAACCTCCCAGGCCAGTGGAAGGAGGCCCAGAGTTGGCGCCCTGCCTGGAAGCAGGAGGACACCCGCACAGGCATTCTGCGAAGGGGTGGAGAGCAGGCTGCCTTCATGGGGGTGTGCCCCAGGGCCTGGGCTCCCAGGCCTCCTGCCCGGGGAAGGCCCAGGCACCTGCGTGCTGGCTTCCTCACTGACCCGCGCTCTGTCTGCTCTCTTTGTGTCTCTCTCTGACCTCCAGAGGCCTCCTTTCTCTCTGCCAGGAACAGTAGCCCCCCTGGGAGGCCCTCCTTTTCCTCCGGCCTGCAGCCTGCGGCCTCTCCGGTTCTGCTCCACAGCCTGGCTGCCACACACTCGCCTCTCTCTCCAGGCCCCCCGGGTTCCCTCCGCCTCTCTTGCTGCCTGTTCTCTCCTTTTGCAGGTTGCGTTTATTGGCTTATCTTGGGGGGTTGGTGCTCTCCCTTGTTTCCATGGAAACTGCCTGGGCCCAAGAGGCAGCTTTGAGCTGCAAGGGCAGGACCAGGCAGGACACCGCTGCCCTGCCGCTAAGCAACGGGGTTTATTAGTGACACGGTGTGGCAGTCTCTAGACCCCACAGTCGGGCTGGCATCCGGGGATGGTACTAACACTCCAGGGTAGGCCAGCCAGTCGAGGGGTGGTGTGCTGTGCCGGAGAGCACAGCCCGAGGTGTGACAAACACCTTGGCCTCTTGGAAGCTGTCTCCTCTCTGGACAGGAAGTCTGGGGGCTGAAGCAGAGGCTCCCACCTTCCCCCAGTCTCCTGGGCAGCACCACATGGATGTCATGTACTGGTCCCATGGCCACACTCCAGCACTCATCCCCTTTGCTCATCTCACTCCTGAGTTGGGGGCGCTTTCCAGGTGTCACCAGGTGTGATGAGGCTAGGGGCCCAGAGCCAGGGGCCTATGAGAGCCCAGGGGTCTCTGATCGCACCTCCTGCATGCGCCTCCCCACAGTGCCCACCTCTCTGACAGTCTGATCTCAGGCTCAAGGGAGGATGGGGAGGGGCTGAGGGGCAAGCTGGAGTAGGAATGCACAGACTGCAGGCTAAGATGAACAATTGAGGGACAAGTTTCCAGCAGGAGGGAGAAACTGGGAACAGAGGCCTTGTCACTCCAGGGGATGCTGCTGCACACTCAGGGGCTCTGGGTGCCAGGCCCAGCTCTCACTGCAGAGGGTGTGGCAGGGAAGTGAGATGGTCACACTCAGTCCAGTGAGAGGCCGTGAGGAAAATCGTTAGCGAGGCCGGTGCGTTGGCTCACAACAGCACTTTGGAAAGTCAAGGCAGGTGGATCCCTTGAGCTCAGGAGTTCAGGACCAAACTGGACAACACAGCAAGACCCCATCTCTACAAAAAACACAAAAACTCACCAGGCAGGTGTGGTGGTGTCTGTCTGTATTCCCAGCTACTTGGGAGGCTGAGGTGGGAGGATCACCTGGGCCTAAGGGGATTGCTGCAGTGAGCCGAGATCACGTGACTGCACTCCAGCCTGGGTAACAGAGCAAGACCCTGCCTCAAATAAAAAAATAAAATAAAAAAAAAAATAACCTGCCAGCAGTGGAGATGGGAGAGGAGGCTTCAGAGCCTAGAGAGCAGCACAGGTTACACGGGGCAGGGCAGGAGGGGTCGACAGGGCCCCAGGCCTGTGAGCTGGGTGGTGGGAGGGACTGGTGAGGCAGAGTGCTATCCAAGCAGGCCCGGGGCGGGAGGAAGGAGGTGGAGGGGCACAATCAAGATGTATGTGGGGGTTGTGGCACTAGGATGCAGGCAGAGAGGGTCCAGGAGATCAGGGGGTGCCATGTGAGCAAACGGGGGCTCCGAGAGGAGCAGGAGGAAGCCCCTAGCACAGGGACAGGAATGGCCTGGAGTACTGGGCCCCTCAGGGTCATTTGTTCCTCGAGGCTCTGTCCTGGAAGCATAGCCCGGACCTGGCCCTGTAGGCTGGGCAGCAGAAGGCCAGGACATGAGGGCACGGGGTCCCCATGGGAATGCAGGGGAACCTGAGGAAGAGGTGGAGGGGAATGGGGCCACACCAGGAGTGTGCTGCCGAGTGAGAGGCAGAGGCCACAGATGGAATTGTGAGAGCTCTCTGAGGCCTGTATCTTACAGCATCTAACCACATGGAGCTCCAACTGCCCCGGTAATGGCAGAATCTGGGATAGAGGACATAAGGGGGTTTGTGGGAGTGATGTGGCTAGGGGGCATGGAGGTCACAGATTTCCCTCGGGACTCAGGTGTGGAGTTCCCCAGGCTGCGGGCCAGGCCCACGGGAGCCTGCCTCTGTGAGCTGCAGCGGGTGCCCCAGGTCCTCTGGATGCTTGTCCCCCAGCCGTCCAGATGGCCTGCAGGGACCACCACCACCAAGCGCACACATCCCCACAGGGAAAGGGAAACAGAAAATCAGAAGCACAGAGGGCAACGCTTGTGGTGAGGGTCTGGAGTCATTGAGGGAAACATAAATTCAGTCAAGCATATTGTTTAAGGTTAAGGGAAACTATACATTTTAAAAGTTGTCTAGAGTATATAAGGTGATGTTTGGAGTGTGGAAGCCGTGAGTCTTACCTGAGCTGTGCTGCCTGATACAGGAACCACGAGCCACACATGGTAGGCATGGTCATTGCACTGCGTGTGTTATGCACAGCAGATATCAAAGGACTGGTACAAAAGGGAATGCAGAAACCCACTACACTTTGGGAGGCCGAGGCTGGTGGATCTGTTGAGTTCAGCAGTTCAAGACTAGCCAGGGCAATACAGTGAGACCCAGTCTGCACAAAAAAATACAAAAATTAGCAGGGCATGGTGGCACACATCTGTAGTTCGAGCTACTTGGGAGGCTGAGGTGGGAGGATTGCTTGAGCCTGGGAGGTCGAAGTTGCAGTGAGCTGTGACTGCACCACTGCACTCCAGTCTGAGTGACAGAGTGAGCTCTGCCTCAAAACGACCCCAATGTGAATGAGGTTAGGCATCGTGGCTCATACGCATAATCCCAGCATTTGGGGAGGCTGAGGCAGGAGCGTCATTTGAGACCAGCCTGGTCTCAATCATTTGAGACCAGCATAGCAAGACCCCATCTGTACAAACCGACAAACCAAAAAAAGAACAAAGGTGAATGCAATATCTCATGAATAACATGTACTGATTACATGTTGAAATAATATGTTGAATATTTTAGATTAAAGTATTTAAGCTGATTTTTTTTTTTATTTTGGGAACAGAGTATGTGTCACCCAGGCTTGAGTCCAGTGGCACACTTATAGCTCACTGCAGCCTCAACCCCTTGGGCTCACATGATCCACCTCCTCTTGAGTAGCTGGAACTACAGGTGCGCACTACCACACCTGCCTAATTTTTTAATTTTTTGTAGAGATGGAGGTCTCACTATGTTGTCCAAGCTGCTCTCGAGCTCCTGACCTCAAAGGATCCTGCCACCTTGGTCTCCCAAAGTATTAGAATTACAGGCATGAGCCACTGTCCCCTGCTGAGCCAGGCTGTTTTTAATATTCAGTGGTCGTTGACTATTTTGGCACTTAGGAGGGCCCTCCAGGGACCAGGCCCAGGACATCTGTCACCCCACCCTCGCACCCCAACCTCCAGCCACACTTGGTTCAACCCGACTGCCTAGCCCATCCGACTCCCTCCTCCTCAGGGAGCAGGGCTAAGCAAAGCTGGTTTTCTCACTGAAAGGCGCTGCAGGCCATTCTCCTTTTGGCCCTTCTTGTCCTTCATAAGGTAAAGAGCCTTGAACAGGGCTCCCCATCAGCCCTGAGAGCATGCAATTCCTGAAGATTTCCAAGTTTTTCTTAACATCAGGTATGGCTTAGAGTTACGTTGGTTTCATATTTCCAGGGCTTGTCCACCCTGTCAGATTGAAAGATAAGCATTATTAGCCAGGTGTGGCCCCATGCTTGTAGTCCCAGCTACTCCGGAGGCTGAGGCAGAAGGATCCCTTGAGGCCGTGAGTTTGAGACAGCAATAAACTGTGATTGCATCACAGCACTGTAGCCCAGGTGACAGAGCAAGAGTCAGTCTCTAAACACACCCCCAACACACAGACACACACACATACACAAATCATATCATTATTTGTTCTTTTCTACTTCCCTCTCATCCTTGTTTCCAGAAGGGACCGTGTCATTACTGAGGGGAGGAGAGGAAGCTCAGATGGCACAGGCTGAAGGGAAGCTGGCTCTGAGTCAGGCCCAGATCTGGGAGCTGCTGTGTTGGGTGCTGTGGGGAGCAAGGCGTTAGTTACCCTGAGAGCGCCTGGGCTCCTGAGCACCCAGGTTAGGACACGGCTACAGATCTGACTCTGTAGTCAGATCTGATCTGGCGCAAAGGGACTGTGGCCTCAGAGAAGGATGCTGGCCCAGTATGGGAGCTGCTGCAGGGTGTCAGGGCCAGTTCACTCATGGAAGACAGACTCCTCACCCCCAACCAATCATTGGGGACTAAGATAATGGCAGTTTGTACCAAAGGAGATTCGTGGTGACCTAACGTTCTCTGCTTTGTGCCTTTTTCACAAGTCACTGCTGGGCTGAGGTGGCCAAACATCACCCACCACGTGTTCCTGGCTGCGCCCCTCCTTGGCTCAGGGCAGCCCTGACTCCATCTTTGTTGAGTCAAGTGTGCCAAGCTGACAGAGTTCCCAGCGTGACACCGGTGTCACCCTCACCACCCACCAGGCAGGAATGAGCACAGCTCTCATTCTCTGAGGAAGAACTCCCGGAAACTCAAGGAGGGCCGCCCTATCCCTGCAGGGCGCTGGGGAGAATTTTGTGGTATTAGCGTGGAAAGGGAGCTGGAGGTGCCTCTGGAAGAACCAGGGTCCAGGGCGTCTCAGACACAGGAGTCTTCACTTGTTCAAAGTGACAAATGGTGAAACAGAAGTGACCTAATGGGTGCCTAGACACCCAGTTGCATCTTTTCTCTAAGAACGCGGTTTCCCATTGCAGGCTGTTTGCATTTGATAAGAGGCCAGGGAAGGACCAGGATTGAGGTTAGGTGTTCTGTTAGCTGGGCCTTTGTCTGGAGTTACCCTAAAACTGGTGGCACGGGCGTTCTCGCAATGGACTGCCCCAAGCCTTCCCAGGATTGAGCTAGCTAATGCCAGGGTGGTTAGTCCTAAGATTTTGTTAGGGAACTTGCATGTGGAGGGGGGCTGCAGTGTGGCCTCATGAGGCACAGCCAGGAAAGAGGTTCTGCCTAGGCACGGCTGCAGTGTGCAGTTAGGAGTTTGGCCGGGGCTGGGGCCAGTTTCCACATGCTTAGCCACATGTCAGATCTTTCAGTGTTTCACACAACAACCTAAACATGTTTATCAGTGTCTGGGAAGAAGCAAACCCCAGCCAGGGTTTGAGCCTGCAAGGGGAACATGTAGCTGACTAGGTCAGCGTGGTCGAGGCACTCCCAGGGTCAGAAAAAAGGGAAACCTAGGGTGACGAAATGGGGGACCAAAAACTGAGTCAGGCAGGGGACACATGCCTTGGTTAGAGCCCACAGGGCAGACCCTGCCAGGCCGGAGCAGGAGAGAGTCCTGGCCAAGGCGCTTCACATGGGGGGCTGTGACCCCACGGGCAAGCCTAATACCCGGGCACATTTGTCCCCTAGAGGGTCCTCTCAGTCAGTCTTGCTGCTGCTGTCAACACCCTGAGCCCAGGGAAGTCCCTCCCATTAAAACAAAGCTCTGGCCCAAGTGTGGTTGCAGATCTTTCTTGGCTGTCTTCACCAAAGAAAGTGAAGTAAGCAAATTACAAATCAAAGAAACGGAACCAGTGGTCTTCATCCAAGTGAGACTGGTGGTCAGACGGAAAGTCTCAAAGCATTCAGACTGCAGCAGTAACCCTGTCAGGGAATCTGGCAGCTAAACCCGAGAGCAAGAGGCTTGACCACTATTTGCAGAACACTTGGGTAGGAAGCAAACAATGTAAGAGCTTCCAGACTAAAAACCAGAAACCTGATTCTAGGACTTGGTGACTGGAATACTTTCTGCCTGTCACTGCCTAGCGCAGCTCAGATGTACGGTCCAATGTGAACACACCTGGAGGATGAGGCAGCCAGTCCCTGCTGCTGCTGCTACTGCTGCTGCCAGCACCCTCAGGGCAGACCACGTTTGCTGCCCAGGCCAGGTGTGGACCGGATGCGCCTACCTTTCCCTAGATGGACCCGTGGCTGTCCTTTCAAAACGTTCCCTTGGCAGTTAGCTGCTTGCATGGATTCCCTTCTGGGACACATCCTAAATGGTGCCCTGTGCACTGCCAAGGGCTTATGGGGCATGGCCTGTCTTGATCAGTTCTGAGCCTCAGGACTCGGGGCTGATGCAGGGCCTCTAGGTGAAGTAGCTTTGACAGAAATGTGTAAACATAAATGTTTAAGGAGCACGAGTACAGCAGGTGTTGCAGTTATGGGGCTCACCCATTTCTAATTGTGCTTTGTGTCTCCTCAGGGAGAAACAAAGGCAGCACTGCCCTCGGGGGAGCGCTGGCCCTGGCAGAACGCAGCAGCCGCGAAGGATCCAGCCAGAGGATGCCTGCGCCAGCCCAGCGCTACAAGGCTGCCCAAGGGGGGTGGGCCTGGCAAGAGCCCTACGCGTAGCAACACCTAGAATGGGGCAGAGACTTACCACACCACTGTCCCCAGCAAAGGCTATGTGTTAATCTCCTTCAGTCGATAATAAACCTTCCTGAGATTCAGAGGGTCAGACCTGCTCTACTGTTTTTTGACAATATTAAGGCACAGACTTAGAATAAGGTTTCTGTGCCTGTCCTGATTGTACCACAGGTGAACTAACTAGGTCCCTTCACCATGAACTTCCTGGACCTGGATTTTGAAAAAAGGTGTCTGGATTACCAGGTCTTCTATAAATAGGTGTCAACAAGCTTCATTTGAAATGAAATGTGGGAGGTTTTCTAAGACGATCGAGTGCTGAGGGGCAGGGAGGCTGTGTGTGTACACATGGAAGGCGAGCGCTGCCTTCCAGGTTATCGTGGAGCACTGGGTCACCATGAGTGTGTTGTGACCTTCTGCAAATGCTTTGCAGAACTCAGTTGACACTCCCCACTTCTAAAATGTCCTGACGTTACACATTTGACCCACAGCTTTAGGGATTTCGTGGACAAGCCCCATCCACAGACTCAAACACTTCTTGTCTCTTTTTAGCCAGCACAACCCATAAAGAAGCCCAAAAAACTGCCAAGTCAGTTGAAAACCCTGACTGCTTTCCTAGAATTTAGGAAATCTACACATTGAAAACTTGGCTTTGAAGAAACACTGGTTTCCTTAGGTTAAGTTACTTCTGTGGCAGCTCCTTAAGTATGTACGGTTCTGCTGCGCCCAGCCCCACACCAGAAGGGCAGGTTGGCACCCCACCACTCCCCATGCAGGCTCTGGGGTCCCACCCGCTCCTGTAGGCAGCGGTAAGCAGCACAGCACAGAGGTCTTGGTTTTAGACAGAACCTTTATTAGCAAACAACTTGAAAGCAGCCATCCTGGGGGCGGCAGGGGAGAACCCACCACAGCCTCCCCTCAGTATTCTTCGCCTTCTTCAGCCTCAGCCTCCACGGAATCCACGCCCACCTCTTCATAATCCTTCTCCAGAGCTGCCAGGTCCTCGCGGGCCTCGGAGAACTCCCCCTCCTCCATGCCTTCCCCCACGTACCAGTGCACAAAGGCCCGCTTGGCATACATGAGGTCGAACTTATGGTCCAGGCGGGCCCAGGCCTCCGCGATGGCCGTGGTGTTGCTCAGCATGCACACAGCCCGCTGCACCTTGGCCAGGTCCCCTCCAGGGACCACCGTGGGGGGCTGGTAGTTAATGCCAACCTGCCAGAGGAGAAGAAAGCAGTCTGTGAAGCTTATATCAAACCTAGAAATAGTAGCTATTTTTCCTCAAACAGAAGACACCCTGTAGGTGACCAGGAGAATGCTCAGTTCACCTCACAAATGTCACTAAGCCCTTCTCTGTGCCAGGCAGGGTGATAGTTCCAGACAAATAGAAAGGAATCCTTGGAGGTAGCTACCTTGGCGGGATCCCAAGCTACCTGAAGGCTCTGTCCTAGCAACTGTGACATGTGATAGGTGCCAAGGTGAGGAGTCTTCCCTCTGAAAATGTATACTGCTTGTCTTCTTTGTAGATTACGATGAAATTCTGTAGCTAAACTTTCCACCCAGAGACATTCAGAGTACACAAATCTTCCTCAAGATATCATGGGGAACATCACACCCACCAAACAAGCCACTGTCGCTATGCAAAGGTAGCAGATCATGGGTCAAGAGTCATATGAATGCTGCTACCACAGTAGCAGGAAATGGTCCACTATGCCTGCTTATGTAGGGGGTGACATTCCAAGGTGGGGACCAAAAGGGAGGCATTTCAAGTTTCAGAACTTGGGAATAACATGACCCGAGGTCCTGGCAGCAGTGCACAGGGTCAACTAGAGCAGGGGTCAACAAGTTCTGTCAATGACAAGACCAGGCCAGGTGTGGTGGCTGAAGCCTGTAACCCCAGCACTTTAGAAAACTGAGGAGGCCAGATCACTTTAGACCAGGAGTTTGAGACCACCCTGGCCAACATGGAAAAACCTCATCTCTATCAAAAATACAAATATTGGCTGGGCATGATGGCTCTTACCTGTAATCTAGCACTCTGGGAGGCTGAGGCAGGTGGATCACCTGAGGCCAGGAGTTCAAGATCAGCCTAGCCAACATGGCAAAACCCTGTCTCTACTCAAAATACAAAAATTAGCCAGGCATGGTGGCAGGCACCTGTAATTCCAGCTACTTAAGAGGCTGAGGCAGGAGAATCGCTGGTACCCAAGAAGCAGAGGTTGTAGTAAGCAGAGATCATGCCACTGCACTCCAGCCTAGGTAACAGCATAAGACTCTGTCTCAAAAAAAAAAAAGAGAAGATCATAGTACAAATTCTAGGCCCTACAGGCCACATGACTGTCACACCTATCCCACTCTGCTATTGAATAGCAAAATCAGTCTGCAAATGAAGGGGTGTGGTGGCTGTGTTCAGATAAAACCTTACTTAACAAAATTAAGCAGCTAGTGGTAACCCCTGATGGAGAGGAAGAGAGGCCGAGAGTAAGAAATCCCCGTCAGAGCCAAGTACAGGGGTCTCCCCAGAAGCAGTGGGGGTCTAAGCTAGAGGCGGCAAGGAAACATAGCACAAGGCTGCACATGTCCAACAGAGAAAAATGTGACCAGATTTAGTGACCAACTACTGGAAAACCTGAAAGGGGACAGCAAAGTTTCTTTCATGTCAGTGGAAGGTAGGGACGGATTTTGTATCTGAGGCAAACCCAGGCCAAAATTACTAGCTTCTCAGGAAAGAAAGATGGTGCTGGGTGTTTTTTTCAGACAGGGTCTTGCTCTGTCACACAAACACTGGTGGGATCTCAGTTCATGGCAACCTCTGCCCCTCAGGCTCCAGTGATCCTCCCACCTCAGCCTCCTGAGTAGCCAGGACCACAGGTGCAAACCACCACACATGGCTAATTTTTTGTATTTTTGTTAGAGACAGAGTCTCGTCCCATTGCCCAGGCTGGTCTCGAACTCCTGAGTTCAAGCAGTCTGCCTTGGCCTCCCAAAGAGCAGGAATTACAGGTGTGAACTACCGAGCCTGTTGCTGTTTTCATCAAAAAGATTCATTCTTTCTTTAAATCAATAATTCATTCACTCTTTCTAAATCAAACACTCCATAAGACAGTGCAGTGAAGGACTTAGTGAAGCAGTTTATAGTAATGCTCAAGTTAAAATAAAATACATACGCCATCCATGTGATTCCCCAAAATGCCCATAAAATTCGTACTAAGCTCCACCTATCTTTTCCACATGAATTCTACCACCCAAGAAAGGGACACAAACATCCTTCAGAAAATATCTTATAAAAAAAATATGCTGTCTCATGCCTGTAATCCTAGCACCTTGGGAGGTTGAGGTGAGTGGATCGCTGGAGCCCAGGGGTTTGAGGCCCGCTGGGCAACACAGTGAGGCCCTGTCTCCACAAAAAATACAAAAATTAGGTGGGTGTGGTGGTGTACACATGTGGTCCCAAGGTACTTGGGATACTGAGGTGGCAAGATCACCTGAGCCCAGGAGGTTGAAGGTACAGCAAGCTGTGATCATGACGCTGTACTCCAGTCTGAGTGAGACTGAGATTCTGACTCAAAGCAATAAATAAATATGGCCAAGTGCAGTGGCTTGTGCCTATAATCCCAGCACTTTGGGAGGCCAAGGTGGGCGGATCACTTGAGACCACGAGTTTGAGACCAGCCTGGCCAACATGGCAAAACACCATCCCTACTAAAAATACAAAAGTTAGCCAGGCATGGTGTGCATGTCTGTGGTCCTAGCTACGCGGGAAGCTGAGGTGAGAGAATTGCTTGAGCCTGGGAGGCAGAGGTTGCAGTGAACGAAGATCACACTACGGTATTCCAACCTGGGGGACAAAGTGAGACCCTGTCTCGAAAAATAAATAAATAAAGATTGCAATAGAATGTATAGTGTGATGACTCAGAAAGAGAGTTCAAAAGACATCAACAGGCCAGGTGCTGTGGCTCATGTCTGTAAACCCAGCACTCTGGGAGGCTGAGGAGGGCCAATCACCTGAGGTCAGGAGTTCCAAGACCAGCCTGGCCAACAGACAACACCCCGTCTATACTAAACACACAAAAATTATCCAGGCATGGTGGCGCATGCCTGTAATCCCAGCTACTTGAGACAGTGAGGCAGAAAAATTGCTTGAACCCAGGAGGTGGAGGTTGCAGTGAGCCGATATCACACCACTTGCACTCCAGCCCAGGCAACAGAGCGAGATTCTATCTCAGAAAAAAAGACATCACTGAATCAATGATTACTCTGGTTCACTAATTTGTGCCCATGTGCCTAGCCCATGGAATAGACATGGTCTCCCCAAAGGATGCGGGCCTTTAGGGGCAGCGTTATTCTGTGCATCTGCTGCTTGCTGAAAGGGCTCCACATGACCCAGTCATACCTTAAATCCGGTCGGGCACCAATCCACAAACTGGATGGTGCGCTTGGTCTTGATGGTGGCGATGGCTGCGTTGACATCTTTTGGGACCACGTCCCCCCTGTACAACATGCAGCAGGCCATGTATTTGCCATGGCGAGGGTCACACTTGACCATCTGATTGGCTGGCTCGAAGCAAGCATTGGTGATCTCGGCCACAGACAGCTGCTCGTGGTAGGCCTTCTCGGCTGAGATGACCGGGGCGTAGGTGGCCAGGGGGAAATGGATGCGAGGGTACGGCACTAGGTTGGTCTGGAATTCCGTCAAGTCCACATTCAGGGCCCCATCGAATCGCAGGGAGGCCGTGATAGAGGACACAATCTGCCCAATCAGACGATTGAGGTTGGTGTACGTGGGCCGCTCGATGTCCAGGTTGCGCCGACATATGTCATAGATGGCTTCGTTGTCGACCATGAAGGCACAGTCAGAATGTTCCAGGGTCGTGTGGGTGGTCAGGATGGAGTTGTAGGGCTCCACCACGGCTGTGGAGACCTGGGGGGCTGGGTAAATGGCAAACTCTAGCTTGGACTTCTTGCCATAATCCACTGAGAGCCGCTCCATGAGCAGAGATGCGAACCCAGAGCCAGTGCCGCCCCCAAAGCTGTGGAAGATGAGGAAGCCCTGCAGTCCCTGTGCACAAATCCGCCTAAGAGAAACCAGACAACGTGAGTCAATGCCCGTGGAAGCCATGCCACCAACCTCCACCAAGCCAGGGCCTCTTCTCTTTGCCTCTGATGAGTTGATATGGATTCAAATCACCCATAATGAACACGCGTTAACACTTTGAAGCAAAGAAAAGCAGATAAAGATCTACAAACAAATCACAATTACAGACTCGGTAGGACTCAAGATGCTGGTCTAAGTTTTTGTTTGAGACAGAGTCTCGCTTTGTCACCCAGGCTGGAGTGCAGTGGTGCAATCTTGGCTCACTACGACCTCCATGTCCTGGGTTCAAGCAATTCTCCTGCCTCAGTCTTTCAAGTAACTGGAAGTACAGGTGTGCGCCACCACACCTGGCTAACTTTTGTAGTTTTAGGGTAGACAGGGTTACACCATGTTGGCCAGGCTGGTCTCGCACTCCTGATCTCAGGTGATCCACCCACCTCAGCCTCCCAAAGTGCTAGGATTGCATGTGTGAGCCACTGCACCCACAGTGATCCAAGTCTAAGTTCTGATCAGATGACCTTCACTTCACATTCTAAGGCCTACCCTCCCATGCAAGACAACGCCCACATGAAGTCTTCTCTTCTTACCAGTTTGCGGATCCGGTCCAGGACCAGGTCGACAATCTCCTTGCCGATGGTGTAATGGCCTCTGGCGTAATTATTGGCTGCATCTTCCTTCCCGGTGATCAGCTGTTCCGGGTGGAAGAGCTGCCTGTAGGTCCCTGTGCGCACTTCATCTACAAAAGAAACCGTGTGTGCTGTGAACCTTTAAGGCCTGTTCTCACCAAGATGGACACATTCCAGGACTGTTCATTTCTACAAAGTACATGCTGTTCCAAGTACGTGACCTACATGTCATAGGTCAACAGTGGCAGTGTCTGGTAGAAAATGTCTGTGTGATAACCAGATTGCAAGTGCAATTTATGACTCTAGGAAGTTAAACTCAGCCTGCAGTATAAACGATAGCATGACCAGTTCCCAGCAAAAGGCAATAAGCTTCCCCACCCCTACACAGGTAATTCTACAGGTAATTCTGTCCTACGTGTAGCTACATCAAAGGCTGTTAAGTTAAAAACTCTTACAAACTGGGCAGTCACCAGGTCAGTGTGATTTCTGCAGGCAGTCCCATCAGGGCACCCTGTGTGGCCAGGGTATCACAGGCTTTCAGGTGACACTGTCATCTCCTGTGGTGTGGGGGGCACTGAAAGGTGCTTTGTAGTGCTCCTTGGCTCCTTGGAAACTACTCAGGCTTCTAATCTGAAGGAAGCAAATGACTGTTCTGTACTTACCTTCTGTGCCTAAGATGCAGGTCAAGACTCTCGTGCACCAGCGTAAGAGAGTGCCTAGCATTCGGGAGGAAACCAGTGCCGCCGCACCCTGCAGGCGGGGCCGCCTAAGCAGGGCTGAGGCAGCCACGAGGGAATCTCTCCACAGCCTATCTTACTGCTGGCAAAGCAGCTTTTCGCTGTACGTCAGGTGTTCCTAAATTAGGAGCCGAGTCTCACAGAGACTTTGATCACAAACCTTTCAGTTTATCCCCTAACACCGCCATAGGCATACGCTTGTCTATTCCATCCTTTCTGCAGGGGAATTCAAAGGAGCTCACATGGGGCTTTACCAGTGCTCTCCCACTCTCCCAGGAAAGCTGCCATCCAGTGCCAGGGCACCTACCGACCACGGTGGGCTCCAGGTCTACAAACACTGCTCTGGGCACGTGCTTGCCAGCCCCAGTCTCACTGAAGAACGTGTTGAAGGAGTCGTCCCCGCCACCGATGGTTTTATCACTTGGCATCTGACCATCGGGCTGAATTCCATGTTCAAGGCAGTACAGTTCCCAGCAGGCATTGCCGATCTGGACACCTGCCTGCCCCACGTGGATAGAGATACACTCGCGCTGTGAACCGGAACAGAAAAGTGAACCCATTGATTTCAAGGCAACATGAAACTATATGGCATGCGAAATACTCTAATTTAATATTTGTATAGTGTTTCAGTGTCTGGTGCTTTCACAATTGATATTTCGTAGAAGGGTTAGGCGACTGACCCCGTTATCCCCGTGAAAACTAACTTGCTTTAAACCATCCTAGCTACTAAGTTCTAGAGGTAGCCCTAGAACCTGTTTGCCACTACAGAAAAATTAAGTTATTTTAAAACTTAGAAGCCATGTAATGGCAATAATCAACTCCACATTATAGCCAGTCACAGTAATTCTCTGAAGAATATATAGCAGTTTTATTATGTCCTGACCAAAAGACAAGGTAGTCGGGTTGGGTAAGGAAATACAAAGTCAGTCCCAGGCCACCATGGTTCAAGCCCCGTTGCTCAGTGTCTGTCCTCTCTCTGCCCCCCAGATCTACCCTCCATCATTCACCACCGGCTCTGTGCTCCTGGAGGCTGACCATGAGGACGGCATCAGAAGCTTTCCTCACTCTCTGAGTTCTTGCTGGTTTAGTCAATGGCAGGCAGCAGTAAGAGACTGGAAGGAGAGTGGCGTCAGGGTATTCCCTCCTTGGCCCCTTCCTGCCCAGCTGCTGTGGGTGACCTGAATCCCTCCATCAAGGCCACACTTTTGGCAGGCGGGCCTCTTCATAAAGCTACCTTCTCGATTTCTTGTAACCACTCCCTCTCTTCACCCCTTGAAGCCTAGGAGTGTAATGGCTCCCAGATGTCATCAGTACTGGGACACTGCACTACCCTCTGGTGGTTTATTTAAGCTCTGCCAAGCCAGGTGTGGTGGCTCATTCCTGCAATTCCAGCTATTTCGAAGGCTGAGGCGAGAGGATCGGTTAGGACCAGCTTGAGACCAGCCTGGGTAACATGGTGAGACCCTGTCCCTATGAAAAATTTAAAAATTAGCCAGATGTAGTGGCACACACATGTAGTCCCAGCTACTTGGGAGGCTGAGGCAGGAGGACTGCTGGAACCCAGGGGTTCAAGGCTGCAGGGAACCGTCATCCTGCAACTGTGCTCCAGCCTGGGCAACAGACCACTGTGTTGAGCTCTGTCTCAAAAAAAAAAAAAAAAAAGGATAACTGACAAACCATGGCTATTTAGACTTGGGAATCTGTTCTTTATGTTAATGGGTTGCTTTTTTTATTTGTTTTGGAGGCAGAATGTCTCTGTGGCCCAGGCTGGAGTGCAGTTGTGCCATCACGACTCACTGCAGCCTCAAAGTCCCTGGCTCAACTGATGCTCCCACAGCAGCCTCCTGATTGGCTGAAACCACAGGCCCGCGTCACCACGCCCAGGTAATTTTTGTATGTTTTTTGTACAGACCATGTTTCACCGTGTTGTCCAAGCTGGTCTTGAACTCCTGATATCTGGTGATCTGCCTGCTTCAACCTGACCAAGGGCTAGGATTCCAGGTGTGAGCCACCATGCCCAGCCAAACGTGTTGGCTTTAGGTGAAAGCGGCAATGTTTCAGCAACGTGTGACCTTTAACTCCTAATCTGTCCAATGTTCACGGCCCCAAACCCCATCAGCAAAACTCAGTGTTTCCGGTAGCAAAGACTTCTGGACTGGAAAGCGCAGGCAGCGCCCTCCCGCTTTCAGGGGGTGATGCCACTATCTGCTCTCTGGAGGACGGGACACCAACAATGGTCCCCGTGCACCTACTCAAGGTCGGCCGCTTGGTCTTAAACGAAAGCTGCTGTCCCTGCTCTGGGACCCGCAGCCCCGGGGGACGATCCTAGGTCCTCGTGTCCCGCCCTAGACCCCGCGTCCTTCTCTGGCCTCCTCTCCGCCCCCAGGTCCGCAACACTGTCCCTCCGTCTAGCCGAGGCCCACTTCCTCTGCCTGGGAGTCTGCGGGGCCAGAGTGGCCCGGGCCTTACCATGGTGAGCTCCGCCGCTGCAGCCCAACGCCACTACCTGACCTCAACCGTTGCCGCCGTTGCCGCCGCTGCCGCCGCTGCCTCCGGCACAACTGCAACCTCCTGCTCTCGTGCGCTGCCTGGGATTGGCCCGCTGGTGCTAGGCCACCATTGGCCCGGAGTTCCTAAGAGGCGGACCGAGGGCCGGATCCCAGTTGTGATTGGCCATTACCCACACATGTAATGGAGACGCTCTCTCATTGGATGCAGTATTGGCGGGAAGGCAGCGACGTCATCAAAGGCTGCGTGGGTGCTGAGGCATTTCCGGAGTGTCTTCTGACTGGGAGGTGGGAGCTGCTACTGTGCTGCCCTTGTGGGTCACGGAACACAGCCTTGCACATAAGCTCCTAGACTGCCACTGCCCCTCCCGGATTGCCCCAGGCCTGCTTTCCCCAGGCCTGCTTTCCCCCTGCCGTCCCCCGACCCCCCGACATTCAGATCTTTGCAAACAAGTACGCCTCTGAGAGGCCTTCCCGCCATCGACCCAAGTCACAGCAGTAACGCAGTCATCCCCCGTTCCCACCCAGCACCCAGGAAGTAGCAGGATTCGATCACTTTTGTGACTAAAAGGAAAAATTGGGCCGAACGCAATGGCTCACACCTGCAATCTCAGCACTTTGGGAGGCCGAGGCGAGCAGATCACCTAAGGTCAGGAGTTCCAGACCAGCCTGTCCAACATGGTGAAACCCCGTTTCTACAAAAAATACAAATATTAGTCAGGCATGGTGGTAGGCACCTGTAATCCCAGCTACACGGAAGGCTGAGGTAGGAAAATCCCTTGAACCGAGGAGGCAGAGGTTGCCGTGAGCCGAGATCGCACCTCTGCACATTCCATCTTGGGCAACAGAACCAGACTCCATCTCAAAAAAGAAAAAAGAAAAGGAAAAAGTGAGGCAAAATTAATGTAAGTGGAGAGGTTGGGCCAGGCGCAGCAGCTCACACCTGTAATTTTAGTGCTTTGGGCGGCCCCAGCAGGAGGATGGCTTGAGGTCTGGACTTGGAGACCTGCCTGGGTAATGTGGTGAGACCCACCTTGCCCGTTTCTACAAAAAATAAAATAAAATAAAAAATAGCAAGGCATGGTGGTGCACGCCTGTAATCCCAGCTACTTAGGAGGTTGAGACAGAAGAATCGCTTGAACCCAGGAGGCGGAGGTTACAGTGAGCTGAGATCCAGCCACTGCATTCCAGCCTGGGCTAGAGAGCCAAACTCTGCCTTGGAGAAACAAAAAGTGTAGTTGATTTGGGCCAAGTTTGAGACATGCAATCCTGGAGATGCAAGTTGTCTTAATATACACTCTGATTAGCAGCAGTTACAAGTGGGCTTTTAAAGGAAAAGAAGGGGCAGTTCCTAGGTTGTTTACCAAGAATTTTGAAAATAGAGGGGGAGTCTTGCTATGTGGCCCGGTTGATCTTGAACTCCCACCTCAGCTGGCCTGGCCTGAGGAATTTACATTAAAATCACATAAGCTATTTATTGGACCGAGTGTGGTGGCTCACGCCTGTAATCCCAACACTCTGGGAGGCCAAGGGGCGCAGATCACAAGGTCAGGATTCAAGATCAGCCTGGTCAAGATGGTGAAACCCTGTCTCTACTAAAAAGACAAAAATTAGCCAGGCATGGTGGTGGGTGCCTGCAGTCTCAGCTACTTGGGAGGCTGAGGTAGGAGAATCGCTTAAACCTGGAGGCAGAGGTTGAAGTGAGCTGAGATCGCACCATTGCACTCCGGCCAGGGCAACAGAGTGAGACTCTGTCTCAAAAAAAAAAAAGAAAGAAAAGAAAAAGCTATTTATTGGCTCTACATTGTCTTTTGTATCACAGATTCCAGGAACAGGAAGATAATGGATTAAGCTAGCCAGGAAAAATGCCTTTAAACAGTCACCTGGGACATGGGAATGAGGTATGTGACTGAAGTCCCGTATTCCTAACCTGTGGGCCTGATAGATTCTGCACACCTCACATAACTCAACGTGCTGTGAATACTTTTTCTATTCTCATTTCTTTAGTGAGAGGGAGTGGGTTTATGGTCACCAGAAAAGGGGAAGGCACACCCCTGTTCCGGGAAGAGCAAGTGGGGACCCAATACCTATTTTGGAAGAGTTGAGAATAGTCACCTGATTCTTTTTATTTATTTATTTGACACTGGTTCTCACCATGTTGACCAGGCTGGACTCAAACTTCTGGGCTCAAATGATCCCCCTGCCTCTGCCTTCCTTGTAGGCTGGGACTACAGGCATGTGAGTCTTCCCAGTTTGATTCTTCCATTCCTAAAGATCATCTTAGTGTGTATTCAGTTCTGGGAAAAGCACTGGAGGAAACATGCTGGCTTAGCCCCAGCTCAACACCAGAATGCAGCACCCCATCTGGAGATGCCACCTGAATGGCATCTCCCTAGAGAGTGTTAACCTACTTAACGTAGGTCCTTAACTTTCCCTCCTGAGAGGAGAACAGTAAAGAGAGAGGGAGCTACCCCAGTGGGATGGCACTCATAGGGTCAGGAGTTGAGACTTTTCTGTGGGCCTTGGGGCTTCTGAACAGTGTGATAAGGTCTGCCCTTAGAAGAATGCTTTGGCAAAAGGCGAAGGGGCAGACAGGGAGTTCTGCAGACAGCCAGGAAATCAGAGGAGGCCACTGGCTCCCTGCCTCTCCTCCCCAGGAGGGTGAATCCTTCGGTATTAGTCATCTTTGGGCACGATAAAAAAAAATACCTTTGACTGAGTGGCTTAAACAACAAGGTGTTATTTTCTCACAGTTCCGGAGGCTAAAATCCCAGAGGCCTCTCTTACTGGCTTGCACACAGGCACCTTTTCACCATGTCCTCCAACGGGGTAGGGGGAGAGGGAGATAGGATCCAAGATCTCTGGTCTCTCTCTCTCTCTCTTTTTTTTTTTTTTTTTTTTTTGAGACAGAGGCTTGGTTTGTCACCAGGCGCCAG